CTCAACAACAACAAAGAAAAGAATCCAGTCAAAAAATGGACAGAGGAACTAAAAAGAAACTTCTCTGAAGAGGAAATGCGAATGGCCAACAGGCATATGAAAAAATGTTCAACATCACTTGCAATCAGGGAAATGCAAATCAAAACTACCATGAGATACCATCTTACACCAGTGAGAATGGCACATATTAAAAAAACTAGCAACAACAAATGTTGGCGAGGTTGTGGAGAAAAAGGAACTCTTCTGCACTGTTGGTGGGAGTGCAAACTGGTCCAACCACTATGGAGAGCTGTGTGGAGATTTCTGGACCTACTAAACATAGAGCTTCCATATGATCCAGCAATTCCACTCCTAGGTATTTACCCAAAGAACACAGAAACATCAATTCCAAAGAACACCTGCACCCCTATGTTTATAGCAGCACTGTTTACAATAGCTAAGCTTTGGAAACAGCCCAAATGCCCAAAAATAGATGACTGGATCAAGAAGATGTGGTACATATATACCATGGAATATTACTCAGCATTCAAAAAAGATAAACACATGCAATTTGCAGCAACATGGATGACGCTGGAAGGGATCATGCTCAGTGAAATAAGCCAAAAAGAAAAAGAAAAATACCGGATGGTCTCACTCATAGCAGGGATCTAGAAAACTTAAATAAGGGACCAGGAAAATGAATAACTATAAGAAAGTGAAAATCAAAATCAACAAAAACTATGAACCAGAGACACTTTTTGGGGGGTGGGGGGCGGGAGGGGAGGGATTGGGGTCAGAATGGGGGGATTGCAATTGTATGGGGAATATAAAAATAAAATTTATTAATTAAAAAAAAATAAAAAAATAAAAAGTTACTCTGGAAAAAAAAAAGTTACAGTTATTAAAAAAAAAGAGATTCAGATTTGAAGTCAAACATCTGCAAATCAAAGAGTATTCAGTTTAAAACCGTTGTACCATTATTTACTGGCTTTATAACTAATCCCATTGTTAGTATTAGCCATGTAGCTTGTGGTTCTAAGTCTCAAAAATCATAGTTTAATAGTTCCCCTCACAGGGATTTGATGATGATTAGATAAATTAATTTGCAGAGATCAAATAGATGCTTGTAACAAAGATTCATATATATTAGTTGTTATTAATACTATTCCAGCCTTGGTACAGTCAACTACTGTGTTTAAGTTTTTTATTCCCTTTCACACTGTGGGACTAATAACATTTCACCTTTTCAGTTTTGGATGCAGTAAAATGATTTGATGGCACTAAAGGTCTTAGGATACATAATTGGGCATCAAGATATGTTAATTATTATCATCATCACCATCACTCATTTTTGTTCTTCACAATAATAAATCAGTGCTCTCTAAGCCACTAAGCATATGGGGATGACTTTTTTTTTTTATTTATGCCCTTTTAGCCACACTATAGTGAGATTTGTTTCTAGTGAACACCCAATTTCAGTCAGTAGGACAGAACCACTGAGCGAACCACTAGAAAAAAATGGGCACAAGGAAGGAAGATTTATCATTTTCTTTCTTGTTGAGACAAGGAAACATCCTATGGAGATTTGGTGCCAACCAGCTACTTTATTTTCGCTCCTTTGCAATCTTTTGTTATTGTTCTCTCTTCTCTGCCATTGGTAAGTGTCATATTGAAGGTTTTCTAGATTCCTTGGTCTCTTTGATCTTTGTCCTTGTCTTTCCTACAGTTTGTTAACTGACTACCAGTGCTATTTTTAATGAAATCTGTTTTCCTTCCATTCATTTTTTAACACTGATTCAGTAAAGAAATTATTTAAATGTCACTTCTGTGCTCCAAATAAAATAGTTGTAAAGCTACTTTCAAGTCTGAAAATTAGAGTTTGGAAGTTTGGACTTTAAGTATACTTCAGCTATGATGAATATGAATTATAATGGGGAAGGAGGTATTTTCTGCAACATTTCAATTCATATTCTTTTTCTTGCTTTTAGGTATATTTATACTCTAAACTCAATTTAAGAAACTCACTTGCTAGGAGTCATATATGGGTGAGAGGGGACAGGGTAGACTGTGGTACTGGTTAGAAGAGCAACAATTGTCAAAACCAGGCAGACAGGAAAAAAGGAGTGAAGGAAAGATAGAGGAAGGAAAGAAGGAAGGAAGGAAGGACCGATCAGTATTCTGTGTTTGGGTCTTTAGGGAAGAGGATTTCACGTGTGTTTCTGGTGTAATGCTTACTTGGATACCTGGAGACAGAGGTTGTCCTCCAGTTAATGAATAACTATAATGACTAACAAGTTGGAAGTCCACAGCCCTCAATAAAGCATGACAGTGGACCTGACTGAGCAGTCCTTGGGTAGTTGTTACCAGAGAACATAGATAACAGTCATGAAATGATCTGAAATCACTGGAGCCAGGTGGACGATCAGATGTCCTAACAGGGGTAGATCCGCTTCAGCCTTTTTGCAGATGCACTAAAGCATCTGGTTGCAGCAGCTGAGGAGGGAAGGGGGTTGTTTATCAAAACCACTTCCTTGTAGAAATCTTATAGATCCTACAACCCTCTAGCAAGTCAAATGAATCCAGGGCTTTCTTTTTAGTGTAAAGAAAAACAAATATTCAGATTTCAAAGTAAATGATTTCTTTCCAAATGTCCACTTAGATATTAACTTCCTTGTAAGTTCTGTAAAAACTGTCATTGTGTTAAGGAAATAAGCAAAATGGTACCTAAAAGACAGACTAAGTTCCAGAGGGTGAGCTATGACTCTTGTGGAGTTCAGCCTCATTTTGGGAAGTAGAGGCTGCCATCTGCTCCACACCAACCTCCTGCTGCTGTAATTATGTTTCCCCATGAGCAGTGTTTCAAAAACAGCAGGCCCAAGGAAACCATTGGTCACTGAAAGTGTCTGTTGAGTGAGACAGGGTGAAGCAGCTGATGCAATGGGGGGCTGAGGCTTTTTATGGTTCTTCTTGGGTAAACTGCAAATAAAAATCAGGAAGATTTTCTTAATAATCAAGAAACTTTTAGCTTTCAAAAATCTGAAATCTCAAACTGAGTCTTCATATTCCTGTCTTTTCTTCCTCTCTCATTCTCTGATTTAAGAGACTGTTTTTATTATATTTTTCTCAGTAAGAATTGGACAAGTCATTTCAGTCTCTGTTTTGGGCGGGTGTGTATTGATGGAACTTTCTTATCCTTTCACTTCTAATTCATTCCTTAAAGCGGAAGTGATTTTTTATAAAGGTCACATGTCTTTTCAACCCATACAACTTAATATCTGCCAATGATTTCTCATCATGTTTAAAATTATACCCTCATTTTTATCTGAACTTAGGAGGCCCTATCCAAAGTGGTTTAACCTCTCTTTATCCTCATTGTCAACACTTTCCTGCAGTCTTTTTTTGAGCCCCTATTTTATTTAGGTATTATATTAATATTATTTATTATATTATATTAATAGTGTATAATTATATTATAGATAATAACTAGGTAATATTATTATATAATAATATATTATTTATATTAACATTATATATTATTATATTTATTTATTTATTAAATATATATTTATATCATTGTTAATTTTTGTACAATGCTTGCTTTCTCCTCTCAGGTTAGTCCCTGCAGAATTCCCACCGCCAATTCACCAATGTACCATCACCATAGTCCCTTGTGCTCTTTCCTCCCCTGTTTTGATTCCTCTCTCTCCCCTTCCCTATAGAATGTCTCTGATTTATAGTTGCCTGCTAGTTTTGTTTTTTTCTTTGTTATTATTTTTTTTCCCTGATCCCCTTTTTGGTTCCCCTATATTCCTCCTATAAGTTAAACCATCTGATACTTTTCTTTTTCCTTCCAACTTATCTTACTGATCTTAATCCCTTCCTGCTCCTTCCCCCCAGCTCCATGTTGCTGCAAATGGCACAAGTTTATCTTTTTTGATTGCTGAGAAGTATTTCAGTGAGTATATATACTCCATCTTCTTGATCCAGTTATCTATTTTTGGGCATTTGGGTTGTTTCCATATCTTACCTATTGTAAATAGTGCTACAATAAACATAGGGGTGCAGGTATCCTTACCACTTTCCCTCCTTGCTTGTGTTTCAACCACACAGGCCTTCCCCCTTTTCCTCAATTGTCCAAGCTTTTGCCTCCCTCAGGATCTTCTTGGTCTTTCTTCTGCTTGAGCAGCTCTTCCCAGCTCCGGTTCCTGTGACTTCTTCCTTCACCTTCATATATCTACTCAGATGTTATCTTCTGTGATATACCTTCCAGCTAAAGATTGTAACTAACTAAAGCAAACTCTTTCAGTACTTACCTTCCTCCCCATAGAACCTATCTCTTATGATATACTGTTATGATATACTGCAATGCATATCATACATATAATATCATACATGTGCAACAGATAAGATGTATGTTATACAACATATGTGACATATATACCATATATGTAGCACAGTGCAAACAACATGTAACATATATTTCTTTATTTTTCATTTTAAAATTTTTGCATATTTGTTATTTCCACACCTCACCAAAATGTAAAGCGACATTGTGTTTCACATATCGGATAATTCCTAGTAACGGTATTGTAGGATAACCATCTGTCTGTATAGGTTGTGGTAACTTTTTTTGATGAGAGTATTATTTGAGAAAAACTAATATTTGCAGTAATTATAAAGAGATAGCTAACTAGTGACTAGGCATTTTCACTTTACATGTATTTCTTCACTTGTCTCCACTGAATCAAGGAGAAAATGGGTTCTTAAGATAGAAATTCTGTCACACAAAACACAGCTTTCCCTTAGATAGATACCAGACAGGTAGATCATAGTCCCTCTATAAAACAGCATTGTGTAATAGAATTTACATGATTAACATTTTCTCTCCCTGTATAAAAGAATACTAGAGGCAGTAAGTATGAGAAGAACCATTGTGCCACAATGAATCGGTTTATTTTGGAAGATACCAAGATGTAACTTTTGTTTTGTTTTGACCTCTCTTTCAACTTTCTTTTTAATAGGTCAGTTTGGTTCATCAGTGGCCTCATACTTCCTCTTCTTGAGATGGATGTATGGAGTAAATATGGTTTTATTTATCTTGACATTCAGCCTCATCATGTTGCCAGAGGTAAGACTCTCACTTCCATTTACAAAACATACTGAAACAAATTTCTCATGTGATTGATCTTCCAGAAAAGTTCTTTTCCTTAAGAGTAGAATAACTAACTGGTTGCATCCAACATGAGAATCATAGGATTTGTTAACAAAGTTATTCTTTGATATGGTGCCTGTGGGCCAAAATTTCTAATGCTTTGCCCAGAGGGTGTGTGAGCCTCCTAAAACCATATATAAAATGACATGTGTGGGTTTAAATGTATATTGTTATGTGGAAAAGTTCTTGGCATCTATCACTTTCCCAAGATGTTCCTTGTGCTCAAATGTTAATTGCCCAAGAGAAAAACTTTGACATCTTGTGCATGGTATTTTATTATTTTGCTAGATTTGCTTTAAAAGAAATGCTTCTCAATGTAAGCCAAGATACAAAGTGAGCACATTTTTTTTTTCAGATATAAAAATCTCTCACATGTGCATTAACAGTATAATCAAGTTTCACTTCTTTTACTTACTGAGCCTCATAACAAATTTATGAGATAGACTATAGAGTTGTTCTTCTCCCATTTAAATGATGTAGACTCTGAGTCATGTGATACTTATTGGAGTTAACTAATGTCACAGAGTGAGTTTTATCTTTTTTAAAGCTGACCTGGGATAAGAATCATTGATTCTGTCTTTTATCCCAAGATTTTACACCCTAATCCACTAGTCTTATAAATTTTTATGATAATGTAGTTGGTAGAAGACAGTGAGAAGTCCTGTGTGGTTTTTCTCCTAAGTGAAAACTTTCAGGTGATGCAGCAAAAGGTATACATGTAATCTTTTTCAAATTAACCCATTTTATTTTGCTCATCTCTCTAAGGAAGTCTGAAACGCCATCACTGGCTCCTGTGACTCTTAGTATCAGTCACAGGGTACACAAGGAGATCTGTCACCTGCATTTATTCTTTCCCCCATACCATGCTGCCTCCATGTGGAGGAAATGAAAGATTGTAGCTAATTCATTCAAACTTGATGAAATTCCAGAACCACCTCCTGTGTAGTGGAGGGAACTAATGCAGGTTTGAGTGCATTTATTATTAGAACTAAGGAGTATATGGTATTTGGATAGGTTTGTGTTTGATGCTGAGGGGCATCCTGTTGTCTGGGCACTGATTGCCAACCAACTCCAGCAAAAGTACCAGAGAGGAAGGACACCTTGCTTGCTAGCATTGCAGAAGCACCAGAGGCCAAGACAGGTCCCCTCCTGGCAACAAGACTCCAGTTTTCAGTTGCCTCCACCTGGCAGTCTCATTCAGCATCCCTCTGACCCACATGCCCTTTTGCCTAAAATTTCTGTGTCTTTGGGCAAGTCTTAGACCCTATTCTCCTTTGTGTCTTGTGTGGCTCCCAACTTTGGGGTGAGGAAACGTGTAGAACTCACCCTTTTTTCTGATTGTTCCCAGGAAGCCAGAGGCTGCCTCAGAAGCTGTGCAGTTTGTGTGGAAGGAGGGCCTATACTCCACTGATAGACTTTCAACCACATTCATCCTCCACCTCCTAGGCCCACCCCTTGGGAGGGGAAATTTGCATCACAATTAAGAAGCATCTGCTTGGAAAGTCATATGCCTTCCCTGAGGCTGAAGGGGTGCTCTGTGGCGTTCTTGACCTAATTCTTGCCCCTCCCTGGCTGACTCGCTATACTAATAACTTCTTTTGTGATCCAGTAGCACAAGAGCAGGGCAGTAAAACTGAACTGGGGTGAAATAGGGTAATCAGGGTATATAATCTTGTTGAGTTCTTCAAATTGTATAAATGATTCTCTTGAGTCATCTTCCACTCCTAACTCCTCAGGGCTATTTCCATATGAAGATGTGGAAATAGTTTTCTGATACACTATTGTTCCCCCAAAGGGAACTTGTCTCCTTTCCAGACCTCCCTTAAAGGAAACCAGTTTGGAGGTGGCAGCAGGTGGTGGGGCTTCTCAGCAAGCCTTCTAGGCAATGTGGTTGGCCTAACTGCTGGTGGTCTGTCTGCTTAACTCAGAATGCAGGGTGCTTAGCACTCCCTTTGTCCTTAACTCTGGATTGGTAGCTGGTTCCCAGAAAATAGGACCCCACATGGAGACCCATAGAGCTCCCAAGAAATAGTTTCAGAATTTCTTTTAAACAAAACCATCTGTGATCTCATGTGTGGCTCAGATTTTGTTTCCAACTGTTAACTGTTTTCATTCTTCTCCATTATAGTACCTCTGGGGTTTGCCATACGGCAGTTTACCTAGGAAAACAGTTCCCAGAGCTGAAGAGGCATCGGCAGCAAACTTTGGTGTATTATACGACTTCAATGTAAGTGTCTCCACAGAGCTGTGTCTGTAAGAGAATAGACTGTTTTCCTCACCCTCTGTAACCTCATGGTCTCCTGGTCTGGGGCATAATGAAGGCCTTTAAAGAGATGTCCCTGCCTCTTATTTAAAAAAAAAAGAAGAAAAAGAAAAAAAGTGACTAGGTATTGGGAATATGATTAATGAAAATATAGATTACTAAATAAAGGTTGCTCATAGTGCAAAGACTTGAAGCTAATATTCTTATCTCTGGCTCTAAACAAGAATGAAGGATGAATGTAAATGTATTTTTTTTTTTTAGGAAAATCTTGATGGTTTTTTAGAGAATTAGGGCTTTGATATTTCATATTAACCTATTCACTTCCAAAAAAAGTCTACCTAATAGCATTTGAACAAAAATGCAAAAAACCCACTAAATATTAAATAGTAAGCAATACTAAATTTTAACTTTAATGCTAAAATGAGTATCACTAGGTGATGACACTCAAATGTATCATTGTAGTAGTGTGAGGTGAATATAACTTTTGAGCTTCTCTGCACAGGGGGTTGTTGTTTTGGCAGAGAATCAGTGTTACCCACTGAGAAATCACTTTGGAGTTTGATTAAAGGCCATAACAACTATTCAATTTCATATATTCTTTCAAAAACAATGATTGGATTAGAGGTGTTTGAAAATATAGAAGATGGGATACTAGCAAAGTGGAATTTGGAGAATTGATAATTCAAGGGATTTTTGAAGAGTAGTAAATGAGAATAAAATTTTATTTAGATTGGAGAATGAAGGAAGGATAGAGATGCAGTAGTCTTCATTCATGTTTATAGTGTTAGTATAATTATTCCACAGATGTTTTGAATTCTTTCTTCAACCCCTTCAGTTGTGAATTTCTTGAAGAGGGGATCATATTTATTACATGTTAATGTAATACCCACCAAATAGAGGCTTAATGAATCTTGAATCTTAATGAATCCTGAATAAGGGTGAGGATTTGTAGAGGCTTGAGATAAGAACCATAGAAATTAATTTATATCAGCAATACCAGAAATCATAATCTTGAAAAAGTTCTCAGTCTCTGAGAAAACAAGGCAAGCAATAGAATAAGCATTAGACACAGTGACACTCCCCACTTCATGAATTTGGAAACTTCAATCACTTGTCAATTGGAATTTTCATTTCAATTTACCAATTATTCATTGACTATAAACATACACTGGTTTTACAAAAATGAATGTATTATGAGTCTTGAGCTTAAGGTGTTCATAATCATAAAAGAAAGGTGTTTAGGCAATTAGTACACAAAATGTTATATACTAAATTAAGAAAATGAAAACAAACAAACAAAAATAGGGAGAGCCCTGAGTAAGTAGTTGTTATTTTGCTAGGGAAAGTCTGGGTTTTATGAAGGCTGTGGTCTCTTAAGATTTTACTTATTTTTTATTCTTCCCTTTTGTCACTTTCTCACTAGCTCTCTTTCTTTCTTTTCTCTCTCTCTCTCACCCCAACTTCCAAGATTGAAATGCCTTACAGAGCTTCCATTACCTGTCTCCTAAGTTAGGGGAACTGAGTTGCAAAAGCATGTTCAGTTATTATTGCTATTGGTGGCTCCTAAACTAGTGCTTATTCTACGTCTTGTATCTTACCCCGTCTCATCAGTTATTTCCCCATGCTGATTTCCAACAGCATTCTCACTGGTGTTTCTGGAACACAGACTCCATTTAATGCTAAATCTGTCTCACAAGGGAAGAACTCGAAACAGTTGGATCCCATTTTTGCCTTACAATAAACATGCAGTTCCCAAATTAGTTTCTTATGTAGAATGACAGGTTCAATATTTACTCTTGTCTTAGTTCTTTACTTGACCCTCGGATCAATTACCTCTCAGAGGTGCCTATTCTGTTATAAGATGATCGAAGTATCCTTCCCAGTATTCCATCTATCCTGGCATCCTGGAGGAAACTTAACCAAAAGTCCTTGAGATCCCCGAAAACTCAGAATTCTGTACTCCTAAAGAGCTAAGAAGCAGACGTGACTGGAGCCTAAACTGTTTAATCAGACAAGGGGCATCTAAGAAGGTTAATGTGCAGGTTTAGCTAATCAAATTGAAGAGAAGCAGAAAAACAAAAGAGTTATAAAATTGTAAAAGATGCAAGCATGACCTCTTGTGGTCGAGGAACCTATAGAATGGGGAGAATTATAAAATCTTTGGTGTGGAGCTGAGGGCAGTTAGGAGGAGCTGCTTCTCTGATGATTTCTGTGGTGGGATCTTGGAAATTTCCTCTGGATCCTGTGGAGCCCAGTGCACAGTCGCTTCTATACATATATCACAAGTTATCCCAAAACCCTGTAATTAATATCAGACAAGTACCAATCTTATGGATTCTCAAAGTCACCATTTACAAAATGCCACATTTTTGATACTTTTATTGAGTACCCAGTCCTAGTGATGGATCTTTTTGGTCAGGAGAGAAATATATTTTATTAAAATATATGGTAAATAGGGAGATTATCTAATATGTGTGCTCTGAATCAAATTGGCAGAAATGGTATTATTGAAGCCATAGAATTAAAATAATGAGTTTAAGTCATAAGAAGAGAATGTCTTTGTTGCCAAGATACTTGGAGACATAAGAATGATGTAGGAATGATAAAGTGGAAGAGACTGTACAGTTTTGATATTCTTGTAAGGGAGAGAGAGGGAGGAACTGATGTGGAATTTGGAAAGAACTTAAGCTGATATCAGATGGTGAGATCATATGGGTAAAGATTTTGAGTCCTGAATTAAGGGAAATGCATTTAGCTTTCCAGCTTGGGGGCATCTGGCACATTACATAGAGTGAGTCAACATTTATCCCCTTCTCTTTGGTTCCGCATTGATGTTGGAGGTGAGAACAGTCCAAAAAGGGCAGGAGAGGAGAGTTAACACCTATTATATGTTCAGCAGGTGCATACATTAAATTTTATTTTCATAACAACTCTTCACAATAAAGATCAATAATCTCTTCATAGTTGATGGAACTGGAACTCAGAGATGTTAGTTTGCCCAAAGGCAACACAGAAAATTAGAGGAGACCCTGAAATTCAAACTAAAATGTAGCTGACTTTAATGTCAAATTGTTTGTTTTACTCTATGATGCCATACCAATAACATTCCTTTGCTCTGCCACCCACTTTTGCCACATCTCATCTTTGAAGTCTGTGCTCAAAAAGATTATGTCTGAAGAGGTGTGAGCCTATATAACCCTAAATTGTATCCATTGTTATAATGCAATGTTAGCTGAATGAAGAAAGATACAATAAAACAAGGATTATCACACGGCATTCTAAATGTTAGCAAATAGCAGTCAATTCAATTCCTTACTTTAACATCATCACAGTTCTTTTAAATGATCTTCAAAAGTGAAAGTATCTTCTCTCAGTTTTCTTAAAAATGTTTTTTTTTAATTTCTTGTTTTATTGGCCACATTTAGAATAAATACTTTTATGATTTGCTTATAGAATGTACATTTTTCTTTAAGGAATACTTCAGTAGTTCAAATGCATCTTTATTGCAAAGTTGTGATTTTCACCTTCAAGGTATGATTTGCTTTAGGTTTTTCTGGGAAGTAGACACCAAAACATTATATGTTGGAGAAATTTAGGAGGTAATTCTTATAAATGATAAAGGGTAGGTGGAGCTGGACAAAGTGGGAAGAATCTTCATATAATTCAAAGCAAGTCTGACATCTGTGAAAAGAGAAGGATAGGAGATTGGGTAGGAAGAGTCTTAGACTGCTGTACAGTGGTGAAAAAGTGTTGGTCAGGCCAATAGTGAACAAAGTATATCCATTAGACGAGTACCATATCACTCAAGAATGACCTAGCATGCTCCATTCAGTCACCTTGGGTGGGGGGGGTGGTCTCAGGATTAACACATCATGATCCATGCTAGTTGATCTAAGTGGTAGCAGATATCTGAGAAGCTCAACAATGTGGTTGCTATAGGGATCTGGTTGGCTTTGAAAATGTGATTTGGCTCCTTCACTAAAGATCAGAACTATTGTTATTCAATTTCAACCAGTTTCAAATATGCTAGTGTGACTTCTTTGCCATTGTCTTCTGAGCCATTGTCTCAGCCTAGCACAGGGCTAAACTCCTAGATCATAAATTGTCACTTGGTAAGGGCAAAAGTATGACCCCCAAGCCAGGCTTATAGAATTTTCATATCCACCCAGAGTTACAACTCATCTCTAGAATGGGGATCATAAGTTTGCAAGGAGTAAGGAAATTCTCATCCACACACATAGTGAGACTCCTTTGAAGACTTCACTGAGCAGAGGAGGGTGCTGCTGAGACTCATAGCTCTGGGACTGGCGTTTATATATAAGGACTGCCTGTACTGGTTCCTAATTTGCCCTCCTTCCTCAATATCCAGTGAGGTACTTCTCATTTAATAGGCTCACTAGGTTTGCCTAATGAAGAGGTACTCTCATTTTCTCTATATCCTAGTTTCTTTCTCTTGCTTCATAGGCTTCTTAACCTGCTGCTTTTTGACTTGTATGGCATATCTGTAGCTTGTGATAGGAGAAATCCCTGAGTCTGATTTCAACTTTCTTGATAGTCTTTTGTTCTCTTGCACCTGAAGAACTGATTCCTGAGAGTTGATATTTACATTAATGCTTTATCTGCCTCAGCAGCAACTTTCAGTTTTCAACACCTCCTCAAGCTGCACCTGGCCAAAGCAAAGATAGACTTTCTTTTTGCAAAATATTGGGATGCCTATGATCCTGATGCATTATCCTTCCTTTGAATGTGATTACAGAAATAATTTTATTTACTTATTTGAAGAACATTTATTGAGCATGTGCCAGGTGTGAGCAGGCTTTAAGCAAACATGAACAAAACTCAACAAGTCTCTGTCCTCAGGAGATTAAATTTTAGTGGAGCAATCAAATAATCACAAAATGAAATGTGATTTCAACCATTTCAAGTGCTATGAAAGAAAGGTATACAATATTAAGAAAATTTAG